CCTGCACACGGTGCATGTGCACAGAGAGAGAAAGAGTAATTTAATTTCCATGTTTCAGGAGCCCCTCAATGTGTAGGCCAGCAGCAGGACTATATTTAACAGATGACAAAAGTTGCATTCCAGACGTACAGTACGATCTTTGTGTTGAACTTTGAGCATGGAAATAAATGGTGAAGAGGAGAGAGGTGAGGGGTGGGGTCAACAACACACAGCTGCTAAGCCAATGCAGCTCCACGAGATGCAGAATTTACAACAGCATTTTTCTAAGTTCCCCATTTATCAGTTACAGGACAGCATTGCGTTTGCAGCTTTAAAAACAAACGCGACGGAAATAAATCAAGAAAAAGACAGAAATATAATTCTCAACTGTGGCATCCGATAAAATGTGAAAAAAATTGACTATTTCTATTTATTTGCGATACCATTACGAAATTCTTAACGGTCCACATCCAAACAAGAAACCTTCATTAACTATTGAACTAGTGCAGAACATTGTGTATACACAACGCTGCCTTAAAAAACAATCAGTGAGAGAAAAAGAAAAGAGAAAAAAAAAAAAACACCAGGTCATTTTCACACACGATCATAGAGAGCAGCCTGCCAAAACCATCAACTTAAGACAACTGAGCACAGCAAGTAGAAAAGAAAAAAAAAACTAAGTAAATATTTACAGCACAAATCTTTTCCATTCATTTACCAAGCACTAACAAAACCGTACTGTACTCTTTCAGGCCCCCCCCCACCCCCCACCCACATCTGCAATTCATTGACTTTACAATTTACCACATGTCGAGATGGGAGAGGTCGGGACTCTATCTGAATCATGACACAAATATGCAAGTGATTTATTGTTTTAAAAACCATGGGCCGATTTAGTGCAACTCCACTCTTCCTGAGCATTACTCCTATTGGCAGACCATGAACAATTACAGTTTGGACTAATTAAGTCCTGAGAATGTGCTGTGCGCCGCTAATGTCTCACAGGCCCTGCTTTCAGTTTAATGGTGCCAAACTTTGCTCCCCAACTTAACTCACACAAATCCAAAACAGATTGCACTTTTTTATGGGTGTTTATCAAACCCCAGCAAACAGAAACCGTTTGTTTTTGTTTTTGTTTTGCATGTAGGATGGGAAGAGGAGAAAAAAGACAAGGAGGAGAAGGAAAGAGTGGCGGAGGGAGAGAAAGAGAGAGTCTTGCTTCCGCCATTCTTTGTAAACAAAAGTGATTTGCAAAACAAAAGGATGGCAACCTTCTATATAAACTGGGAGTGTATTTTGTGCAGAGCGGCACAAAACGCGAGCGCGTAGCTCGGTGAACCCCCTGCGGATAGCAATTAGGGGCCATTAACATGTAAAGCCTATTTGATAAGGTATGAGTCTATCCCTGTAAATCCGCATTAAACTATCGTCTGCACCTCACACGACAGGCTATTCAACACACATAATCCATACGATAAAGCATTGTTATTGACCTCTTAGCCTAAAAAGATTCAGCCATGGTTTATTAAAATTTGTACATGTAGGGCTACATGAGGGATGAATGCATCTTTGGAAAAAAAAATATTAATTGATTTGAAACACCAAATCTACTTAGATTTTTTTTTATTAAATTATACATTACATTTAAAATTATTAAAATTAAAACTATGATTTAAAAAAAAAAAATATCCGCCTTGCATCTCCTTTTCTTTGCTCTAAATAGCGGAGAGTGCATTTGGGTGCTGCAAGTTTGTCTTTTTTTATATTATGTTCCTTTTTTAAACTACGCATAATTATACGTTGAAACCTGAAACCTCTGCCAAAAGTCTGCAGGCCTAAGGAATTATGGGGCCAGGGGTGGCGTCAAATATCTTAACATTCATAAGTCAGAGAGGCAGTAAATAAACCCAGCGGATTTACGGGCATAAAGCCCCCTGCCAGAACTCAGCCGGCCAGACCTCTGCTCTACCTCGCTTTCCCCTCTCCACAGACCTGTTGAGGTGTGATTTTAGCCTACAGCCACCCAGTTAACCCAGCACCTTTCCAACCACAACACACACGTAGAGTGTGTCCGCAGCCGTGTGTCTGCCATGCAAACTGCTCTCGATGAAAGGGGGAAGAGTGGCTATTGTCTGCAGTTTTTAGTGAGGGGAAAAAAAGAGGATCCAGGCATTGTCGATAGAACGTCATGGCAAATTGCTAATTGCTACCAAATCATCGTGAAGCTTTTCCGATTGAGGTGGTTGGAAATACAAACTCCCGTTATTACAGCTCTCGTTATTACAGAGGTCAGACGAATTAAACTCGTTCCCTCCCTCCCTTCAGTCAAACACACACAAGGGGAAAAGCATTTCATCACTATTGCATGAGCGGACCATCAGGGAAATTCAGCTGACACATGGCCTATGTAAATTAAATAATTTTTTAAAAAATAGTCACATCTCTGATATCAACCTGTAGAGAAGCATCCGCCATTAAATAAACCCTTACAGATTAAATAATGCGGCAGTAGCAAATTTATCCTGAAAACAAAACATTGGATCAATAAATACATAAATGTTTGAAATGCAATAAAACTGGATCACCTGTTTGTTTCATACAATTTAGATTTTTTTTTTTTTTTAAAGGAAAAAAAGAAAGAAGGAAAATGCTAAAAAATGCTAAAATGTACTTCATTGGCAGCTAAACACAACAAGCCCCATGCATTCGTTAAACGGAGCGACAGCTAATCGATGCTCAGGTGAATTATTTATCCTCTACTTAAGTAATGCGTTTATGAATACAGCGGCTTTCAACTTCAAAGCGGTGTGGGTCGGACGCCCAGGCAGCTCATAGGTAGCAGGCCTCATTGCACAGAAGCAGGGTGAAGGGCTACAGCACAATGTCAAAGACTGAGATCTGTAGGCCTGGTTACAGTAAGAGATCAAACATTACAACATACAACTATAAAGAAATTCACTATATCTATGGGTATAAAATTTAGGCTAGAGGGTCAGAACAGACCTGGACTGACTCCCACATATAGGGGAGGATTTCAAACAATGATCCTTACTTCCGTGAGAGATCGCTAAATATATTCTTCGTAGCCAAAAATGAATAAGCCAGCGATTTAGACAGGGCTCCATCCCAGCAGGGAGAGGAACTAACAGACTATGAACTCTGGTATCAGCATCTGTGAGATTCTTCACAACCAACCATACAGAAGACACGCTATATGTCAAATACTTCCTTCATATTCCTACTAATCAATGCACAATTGCAGTGGTCATACTGATGCTTTCATAATTTTCTGTCCTTTTGTTTATATGTGAATGTTTCTAATATGCATTTACATCAGTAAATAAATTATCAGCAAGTGAAGAACAGATTCAGCAAAAAGTCATATATTAGGAAACACGCAATATCCACCACAAACACAAACAGCCAGAGATGTTTCTACAAAAATGTCTCACTGATACTAGAAACAGCAGAACGTCTTTAAAATACCTGAAGTTAAATCCACAATTTCAGAGCAGTACATTTTGAACGTAGTTATTTACTTAATTTCAGGTTACACCACATGTCATTGTCATAAAGCGTACCTTCGCGTTTCAGATTAAGCCTAGAGCTGATTATGAAAATCAGAAATGACAGCAAGATCCTACTGCACAATTTTCCTTATTCTTATTATGTTATATCCACAGCAATGACATTTAAAAAATATATAAAATATCAATTGTGAATAAAAATATGAACCTACTAAATCAACATGAATTATTTCTGGTGCCAGGAAAAGTGCTGGACAAATATGCATAACTAAGCACATCTGATTTAAGCAACATAATCTGTATTTACACCTACATATTAAGCATATATTCTCATTACATGTTATTCAACATTATGCATGCTCTAAATGAGAAGTCCATCATACCATGACAAAAAGTAAATGTAAATAAAAAACATATTATATTTAATGTGCATTTAAAGCAAATGTGTATTTAATTTCAAAATAATTCTGACACTACTGTCTACTATTTTACTATACACTATGTCAAGGGTGGAATGAGCAATATTGTGCTTTCATTCTGCGAATCACAAATGCATTGACTGCCTTTCACTAATTACATAAACATTTCCCATGATGCTCTTTGGCAATAACATTTATGTGCATTGCATTCTGTAAATAACACCAGCAGTATTATGTTAAGCTCGGATAAATTAGTCATAAATTAGCTCAGATAAATGACTAATGTGCCATTTTATGTGGCACGCTGTAAAAATGTATTCATCATCATGTCATAACAGCATCTTTGTTTCCATCCGTTTAAACCGTCACAATAATTTCTGTTATTTCTACTCGATTTTCTTCAGCAGTAGGCTAATTAAATTCAAAGTGGCAGAAAAAGCGCAGATTGTAAATATAGCACCACTTTGATTTCATTTTAAAAACATTAAGGCTGCAATTAAACTTTTTAATGGTTAAATGCCTTAGAATAACAGAAACGCTTTTTTTTTTCCATGTGTAAAAATCATAACAACGATAATAACGACAGTAATAATAATGCTATTATTATAAATTCAAACATTCTTGTACATTTCAGTTTTAGAAATTCCGGAACACCCGCTACTGTAAATTAAATGTCTAGTCTAAAGCAAACGAGCTAATCCACTAGTTATTCAAGTGCACAAACAATTAAAATAAATAATACTGTAAAAATCCAGAATCTAAAGCAAAGAATCTAACCTGCCAAGTATGCAAATATAGCCGGGGAAAATGAGAAGAAAAAAATAACAACGGAGTTAAAAGTTGCTGTGGCCGTGTGTTTGTGCACGTCATGAAAGCACATTATGTGTTCCACTGTACTTGCCGCCCGCGCGGCTCTGTCCACGCGCGACAGTGGATCCGCGCGAGCGGCGTGCAGCCGTACAGTGCAGAGTGAAGTGTGACAGAAGTTCACGAGCCGACCAAAGCAATCCCTAAACATGGACGTGGTGCTTTAGCTACGTGCATGTGGCTACAGAAACACGTTAAAAACACTTACTGTGCGCGCGGTCGGCGAGAGCGATCCGTTCGGGAGGTACGGGCTCGTGAGGTCGGGAATCATTATAAATGGATAGCCCGGGTACGGTGGGCTCTTGAACAGCCCTCCATCTTGCCTTTTCGCAGCTAACATGGCGGGGGAAAAGAAGAGGAAAACTTTTAGTTTAAGTTACATTCCCAAAAAAAAACTTTGTACGTGTGTGCAGAAGCAAACGGAACCGAGGCACCGTGTTGTTGTCCTCTGCAAAAAGATGATTTAGAGAAAACAAGCACTCACCCTCCTCTAAACTTTCTCTTGTTTTGTCTCTGAAACTTTCAGATCTAGGCGGAGGCCGTCTTTCCGCCTTGAAATGCAACGAAACACAGGGAATGCATTGAATAATCACAGCGAGGAGATCGTTAGCTAGTTAGCAGCGTGTTTAAACAAGAAAAGTGCATGTAAAGTTGTGGACAAGTCGCGGATTCGCGGTTATTTGTCACTTACCTCGGAATCCGAGGAGCTGTTTTGATTCGTTTCCGACTCGTTTACGAGAGAAGACTTGACATCTGCTAAATCCCTTTCTGCTGAGGAGTTCTCCGAAATCTTTTCCTCCTGCTCGCCTTCGTCTTTGAAGGAAATCATTTCATCGTTCGCACCCAGATCGTCCCCTCCACCGCCGTTCAACTGCGGCATTTTTCCCGAGGAGCGCTAATTTTGCGGGGGGTCAGAAACACCCAAAAGTTTTTAAACCCTTGATCTTGGTTCTTATTATGTTATATCCACAGCAATGACATTTAAAAAATATATAAAATATCAATTGTGAATAAAAATATGAACCTACTAAATCAACATGAATTATTTCTGGTGCCAGGAAAAGTGCTGGACAAATATGCATAACTAAGCACATCTGATTTAAGCAACATAATCTGTATTTACACCTACATATTAAGCATATATTCTCATTACATGTTATTCAACATTATGCATGCTCTAAATGAGAAGTCCATCATACCATGACAAAAAGTAAATGTAAATAAAAAACATATTATATTTAATGTGCATTTAAAGCAAATGTTTATTTAATTTCAAAAGAATTCTGACACTAATATTTTACTACACACTGTGTCAAGGGTGGAATGAGCAATATTGTGCTTTCATTCTGACGATCACAAATTCATTGACTGCCTTTCACTAATTACTATAAACATTTCCCATGATGCTCTTTGGCAATAACATTTATGTGCATTGCATTCTGTAAATAACACCAGCAGTATTATGTTAAGCTCGGATAAATTAGTCATAAATTAGCTCAGATAAATGACTAATGTGCCATTTTATGTGGCACGCTGTAAAAATGTATTCATCATCATGTCATAACAGCATCTTTGTTTCCATCCGTTTAAACCGTCACAATAATTTCTGTTATTTCTACTCGATTTTCTTCAGCAGTAGGCTAATTAAATTCAAAGTGGCAGAAAAAGCGCAGATTGTAAATATAGCACCACTTTGATTTCATTTTAAAAACATTAAGGCTGCAATTAAACTTTTTAATGGTTAAATGCCTTAGAATAACAGAAACGCTTTTTTTTTTCCATGTGTAAAAATCATAACAACGATAATAACGACAGTAATAATAATGCTATTATTATAAATTCAAACATTCTTGTACATTTCAGTTTTAGAAATTCCGGAACACCCGCTACTGTAAATTAAATGTCTAGTCTAAAGCAAACGAGCTAATCCACTAGTTATTCAAGTGCACAAACAATTAAAATAAATAATACTGTAAAAATCCAGAATCTAAAGCAAAGAATCTAACCTGCCAAGTATGCAAATATAGCCGGGGAAAATGAGAAGAAAAAAATAACAACGGAGTTAAAAGTTGCTGTGGCCGTGTGTTTGTGCACGTCATGAAAGCACATTATGTGTTCCACTGTACTTGCCGCCCGCGCGGCTCTGTCCACGCGCGACAGTGGATCCGCGCGAGCGGCGTGCAGCCGTACAGTGCAGAGTGAAGTGTGACAGAAGTTCACGAGCCGACCAAAGCAATCCCTAAACATGGACGTGGTGCTTTAGCTACGTGCATGTGGCTACAGAAACACGTTAAAAACACTTACTGTGCGCGCGGTCGGCGAGAGCGATCCGTTCGGGAGGTACGGGCTCGTGAGGTCGGGAATCATTATAAATGGATAGCCCGGGTACGGTGGGCTCTTGAACAGCCCTCCATCTTGCCTTTTCGCAGCTAACATGGCGGGGGAAAAGAAGAGGAAAACTTTTAGTTTAAGTTACATTCCCAAAAAAAAACTTTGTACGTGTGTGCAGAAGCAAACGGAACCGAGGCACCGTGTTGTTGTCCAATGCAAAAAAGATGATTTAGAGAAAACAAGCACTCACCCTCCTCTAAACTTTCTCTTGTTTTGTCTCTGAAACTTTCAGATCTAGGCGGAGGCCGTCTTTCCGCCTTGAAATGCAACGAAACACAGGGAATGCATTGAATAATCACAGCGAGGAGATCGTTAGCTAGTTAGCAGCGTGTTTAAACAAGAAAAGTGCATGTAAAGTTGTGGACAAGTCGCGGATTCGCGGTTATTTGTCACTTACCTCGGAATCCGAGGAGCTGTTTTGATTCGTTTCCGACTCGTTTACGAGAGAAGACTTGACATCTGCTAAATCCCTTTCTGCTGAGGAGTTCTCCGAAATCTTTTCCTCCTGCTCGCCTTCGTCTTTGAAGGAAATCATTTCATCGTTCGCACCCAGATCGTCCCCTCCACCGCCGTTCAACTGCGGCATTTTTCCCGAGGAGCGCTAATTTTGCGGGGGGTCAGAAACACCCAAAAGTTTTTAAACCCTTGATCTTGGTGTGATCCCCGAATCCCGAGTTTTAAGTTTAGGGACTCGCAGTGGCGTTTGGCTGGGTGAGTGTTCAAAACTCAAAAAGAAGAGGGCAATCTTGGCAGAAACAGAAGCCGGAGACGGAGCTGAGGCGCTCGGATTGAGGGAGTTGAAGTTGGTCGGAGTGGTTTTCAGTTCAAAGGCGGCGCTGATTGACAGATAGAGAGGGATGGAAATAGAGAGAGTCTGGATTCGGGATTATTGACAGGGAGAAACACACAAGAAAAAAAACTAATGAGATTCAAACAGGGAGGGACTTGAAGTGACGTTTTCATAAATAGAGAGGGGCAGTAAAAAAAGTACTGGAGGGGGGAAAGGGCTTGAACGAGAAACACAGAGAGAGGGAGAGGAAAAGAGCTTTTGGTGAAGAGCAGGACAGTTAAAGCGAAGTCGCCCCTGTTTGCTTTTGTACAGGAATGAATGAAAAAATAGGCGGAAGACACTTGTGCGATAGTCTGCTTGTATCTGAGCAGTAAAACGGCTCAAAGCTATTGGCTTCCTTTTTTCTGCAATTGTTGTTTTCAGTGTTGGTGGGCTGAAATAACCCCACTCACTCCAAACATGGACTCAAATGACCATCAATTCTGAATTGCACTAAATCAAAACCTATTTATGAAAACATCACTTCAAAAACGATTTTACTTGTATAAAGGCTTAAAATGCTAGGGGGAAACATACAGCAATCATTTATATGACAATTATTTATGTCCTTTTTATTGTTGTTTTAAAATGTGATAAATTGCAGAAAAGACTGGCATTATCCTACATAGTACATTTTATATAGGCCTACTGAATTTTTTTTATCATTATATCAACATCTTTGTTTCTATCCATGTAACTTGTCACACTAAATTTCACCTTTTGTACTTAATCAGTGATTAGAGTGCAAGTGGTCAAAAATGGTAACTTATCACTGCAGCTTGTCACTTTGATTTCACATTAAAAAAATAAACTGTTTTTTTTTTTTGTGCATTAAAATTGCTATCTATATATAGGAATATACACACACACACACACACACACATTTTTCATGTAAGGAAACTTACATGCATATATGTTTTCCCATATATAGATACAACACACAAAAACGTTTATTTTTATGTAAAATCAAAGTGATCAAATCTGAATGTATAGTATATTTATAATACATTATTAACAATATATTACAATATGTATTATAAATTAAATGATATAATATATATACTGTATATATATACACACACACACAATGCAATGTATATACAATATGATACAATGCATAGGATATAAAGAGTGAAAAATTTAAGCGGGTCTGAATACTTTCCGTACCCACTGTATATATATATGCCAGTATTAGAAATGGGTGCTGAGACTAGAGAAACAGACTAGAGTGAGTGCAGATGGGCTAAATGAGGCCAGTTAACCTGTATTCATTGTGAATAAAGACAAGGTGGGGGTTGAATATCCTTTCTCTCGCGTCTCTTCTCTACAAAAATGCAAGAACAAACTTTTTTTGTATTTGTTTGTGGGCATATGCTTCTGGTTTGTTGGTTTTGGATTTAAATTAAGTATATGCATACATAAATAAATGTATAAATCATAAAATATTATGAAATTGAAACAAAACTATGAAACTCTTCCCAAAATTGTATGAGCTATGAATTATATTCCAAAGACATTCCTGTGTGTTTTGAGTAGTATTGCCTAATATCAGCCTGCTGACTCATAGTATTTTCTCCCTTTAACATTATTTGGTTACTTATTTCATATTTAAATTAGCCATTTCCTTACATCCATTTTAAGAGTCAAGGTCATGCAGGTATCAGAAAGCATCATTCATTTCCCTACCTGAATTTCACCATAGTGGAATTATACAGAAACAACGTCATTTGAAGGAACTTGCAGTGTTGCCTTTATAAAATAATACTTAATACTTAATGCTATAAAAATGTAGCTTGCCTATACAGTATATAATGTTTTTAAAATTTGTACACCCAATAATTAGAAAATGTTAGTTTAATATAAGCAACCATATATATTACAAAGACAGCAATATAAGAGCAGACAAAAGAATATAAAAATAATATTTCATATATACACAAATAGCACAAATTAGGTATATGATTTGCAATTATAATAATCTCCCAAAACAGTTGCAGAAATGCAACATGACACATCTTAACATTCTTTGAAGTTATTTATAAATAGAAGATCTTTAGGATAGATATGCATCCTTAGTTGTAGAGTGAGTCAATATGATTGAACAATAACGACTCGGTATTTAAAATGTGCTGTCAGCAGCTAAAAGATTTCCCATTGCTTTTTGACTTCAGAAGTCTGGAGCCTGCAGATACCAGACCAAAGCAGCTGAGCTCCTAGCTAGCATCTCCCTGGATTGCCTCAGCAGGTTACTGAGAGTTCACTTAGATTGGGTGCGTTTTATCAGCCTTGCTAAGCCAAACCTTGCTCCATTTATTTCCCTGCTGGATCTAAACCTGTGACCAATCCATGTGTTAAACCACGCTTCAGGCTGACCTATTCTGTGCCAATATTTTATCATGCATGACTAAACAAAAAAGGAAAGTAATGTTTATTTCAGATTTATTCTGGTAATGACAATAAAATAAGAGACAAGCGTTGATTTCTGCACACTTGTGTTCTGTGTATAATGTTACCAGGTAAGATATTTGTGTCTTTGCAAACAGTTAATTACCCACAATGCCTGTGTGTTCCTGCGCTGGATGAAATGGCTCTGTTCTTAATTAGCATATTATGGGCTCTGTTAATGGTCTTCTCGGTTGTTTTCAGTAACAATATGTGCATTTTAAAAGCTGGGTTAATAGTGAATATAACATGATTTATGCCAGATCCCCTCTAAGCTAGTTGAATAAAACAAAAACGTTTTTTAGTTTTTACAAGTGGAACTTGGCATTTAACCTTTTCGCATTTAGTCAATTGCAAATTTCCCCATTGTGAGAGAGCCTCTGCGTACCATTTAGGATTTTTTTTCCTGTAGGAGCTCAGATGAATTTTATCCTGTGAATAATGACGTGGTTAACAACAATTATGCGATTCTAATGGATCTTCATGTTTTGCAGGCACAGACCAACAATAGGGAAATTATTTTCTTTACAACATTATGCAAAGTTTCATTTTTATAATGTATATTTTAAGGGCAGATTGAAAAACAGAATCAAACTAATTGTGTTATCCTCAGCATTTTGAAAAGATTACAGTCAGAACAGAGTCAAGCTAATCATTTGAATGTGAGTAAATGAGTTTTGATGGAATGGAAATGTTCATAGATTATTAACGTTCCAAACAAAGTCAAAGCTTACGACGCATCTTTCTTTCTGTTATTTTATGAATCATAGGATTTGACTCAGAGATGTGTCATTTAATTGGTTCTGTGAATCCAACTTGGATCGCCCCATCAGCATTTAGACCTAGAAACTTGTTTTGGAGAAAACATCTGTGAGTTCAAATATTGTAGTCCTGTCCATGGCACTAACTGCGTCTGAACATGTCTCTCACCCCTGGAGTCTGTCAAATACTCCATAGTGGGAAATGTATTTGGGAAAGGAGGAGCACTGAATCAGTTTTCCAAAACAAACAGCAGACGTTTTCATACAAGGACGCGACTGCCATTTATCAAGGTTTGGGTTTGGAGCAATACAAATATGTGGCCACCTGAAGAGGCGCATCGTTGTGTATGTATGTGCTCACATCTCTTAAACTCTGCGGTCACATCGAATATTGGAGCCAAGGCACACACAGAGGAAACTCTCTGACATCACACCAAACCTACATTACTCAGAGGATGAACCCATGACCCCAGTTATCTCTCGAGCACAGCCTCTGCATCAAATGCTCTCTCTTTTAGCAAACCGTCGATTCCTGCCCACAGTTTTCATATAGTCTGTATAAATTATACTAATGTCAACAACAGCTTGTCGTGAAGGCAAAAATCTTAATGTTGTATGATTACATAAAGTCCTCTGGATCTTTGTAATGCTTGTGTTTTAGCTTGCTGTGCTCTCTGTTATCCAAATATTTACCATTTATGAGTGCTTCTCTATAATACATTAGTTGATAGATATCTAGAGAAGCACAGACACTGGACTAAAAAGCGGCTAAACACCAGCTGGCACTCTTAATATAGGTTACATATTTAAAATCTATAGAATCTATAGTTGAACCCTACAAGTGTTCCATCATACTTTAGGAGTTCCAAACATGAAGTCAGCAATAGAACCCTTTAAAGTTCTATATAGACAAATAGAACTTTATAGACTAGCCTTAAGATTGTGAGATTTTGTTTCTTTTTACTCTTTTGGGTTTTAGACTTGAAAACTTAAAGGCAGAGTAAGTGATTTCTGGTAGCTCTACCCCAAAAGGGTCTTGCCCCTATTTTGATAGCTCCGCCCCACATATACGTACGCAACCCAGGCAACGATTAGTTCTGTGAAACAAAGCAAAACCAATGTTACACCGTGTCTACTGACGTGAGCGGCGCGGCGCAACAAATCCCGACAGAAAACTGCTGCCGGGTTCTATTTATGACGTGCTGACACAAATTTCAAATGGTTTTCAATGGTCGTTTGATCGCGTCCAGTGTAGTCAGACTTTAGCTGTTGTAGACACGGTGTTACTCACCTATTGAGAAGAAACAAAGCAACCTCGGCGTCCGATCGCAGGCCTCCGCTCCTTGAGTTCTCTCCAGCGCTGGAAAGCTGATCTGATATTTACACGGGTCCTACTTCTTGTCTTATCGTTCCGCAGACGTTTTCCTCTTTTGTTTTTTATCTGCCATCTCTATCTTTCTGTCGCTCGGCTCGGCTAATGTCCGTCCCATGCTCCGAACGCGCTCTCCTCCACATCACGAGTAGACACGCCCCTTATTGCTGATTGGCTACAAGTTTGTTTTGCGATTCGGCCCGAATCAGTTTTCTAAAGCGTTTTTGAAAAATCACATACCCTGCCTTTAAAATGAATGGCAAAAAGCATTTACACTTATAAATGTCGTTTAGGCCTATTTTCTGCTGGTGATCTCATATGGGTGCATTATTTGCTGAACATTTGTTCTAGCAGCAGCCCTCTTATTTTTGAGTTCAAGGACTTGTCCGAAAAGCTTCTTCCTGAGCAAGATACAGGAAACAGCAGGCAGTTTCCCAGGCAGAAAGAGCAGGAAAAGTGTTCAACACAGTAGGGGCAATGGCTGACAGCAATCATAGATCACAGTGCACACGGTTCTGAACTATAGACTTTGGATATTAGTCTCAGAGGATGTGTT